GCGGGTAAAAAGGAGACCCTTTGTGCCTTTTTACCAGCACAAGCCTAGCGGTGGTTAGTGGTGAAGAGCAATAGTTGAAATTCTACCCAGTGACTGAAATTCTTATCAGTGCTGACTAAACAAGAATGAGTTAACCTTTTCATGGGAAATTTACTATTATGAGTAGGGAGTTGGAACTGCATGGACATTGTAAATGTAGAGGCAGTGAGTGGAAAGCAATCAATACTGGCTTCAATACAAATAAGATCTCCAACTGTGTTTATAGAGATTGTCCTTTGTAGCAGTCTACATACAGGTGATGGTGTTGCACAATCTATGATCCTGAACAGTCCTATGTTACCACATTTGAGGCTTTGAGCAACCTGATCTAGTGGAAGGTGTTGGAAAGAGATGATCTTTAAGGTCCCTTCCAACCCAAACCATTCTATGAATCTGTGACTCTCTTTGCAGAAGAATTAACCCTCTGCAGGAGCAGTTTGACTTTTGGTCTGTACATCAGGGAAGGATGTACTTGTTCATACTTCCTGGGCTGAATTAGAAATGTTACACGGCTTATCTTACTGATTGCAACCAACCAGCACAGCACAACTAGCAAACGTTGAGCATTCACTAGCACATTATATGCAAACAACTTAAAAGAGTTAAAAACATTAATTTAGCATATTTTGTTAGCACACAGGAGGAAATTGTCTCTTCACAAACATTTTACATCCCACTAGAGGCTAGGTTTCTTGACTAAACTGTTCCTTGTAAATTCTCACCAACATTTAGCAGTCATCTCTATCAGTTACTGCTTTCAGGGAGAATTAGTACACAATCCACAACTGGCAGTTTCTCTTCTCCACTGTCCCCTAAAGCTCCCACTTTGATAGTTAACTTGCTTGAGATACATTATCTAGGAGGATGTAAGTTTTGCATCCTTATAGCAGTTTCATTTGGAAGTTTTGCATCTTTGTAGCTAAAGAAATTGAACCCTTTGATGTCTATTTGCTGCGATATCAGCCAAGTAGTCAGTTCAGACTCTCGTAGGAGAAGGAGCTGTCTACATTAAGGATCTGTATCAGCGTATAATCCTACTGATTGTACCATCTCTGGTGAAAGCTGTCTTCATCTCATGAGTCCTTTCAACATTCCCACAGAGAAGCCTTGAGAGGACCAAGGCGTGCTCAACATGGGTATGGGTGGCAGGGTCTCACTCTTAGGAGGTAATTCTTTCATATGAGCTAGCCAAATATCTTAGTAGTTTAAAAAGGGTCCTGAAGTTGGACAGCTTATTCCTTTTCCAAAGAAGGCTCAATTATACATAGCATTCAGTTGTGGCATCTCATGGTGTCAGGCCCTTAATGACAGCAGAGTTTTCTCTGTTGAGAAAACTTTTTTTTTTTTTTTGCTAATTCTATGAGTTCTTAGAAATTCTAAAGGAGTTATCCTAAAAGACTCTTCCAGGATTTCATGGCTCAAAATTTGATAACTCATTTTTAGTTTGGTTAACTACAATTAAACTATTCAGTGTTTAAAAAAGAAAAAACAAGGTTTTCAGCATTTGGGAGAAACCCTACAACAGTAACATACAAGAACTTTCTCTCAAACTGCAATATATTATTTCTCTTAGTTACATCAAATGTTGATTTAAACTGAGTATGAAAAGTATCTCAGCTGAGTGCTTTACAAAGACAACACTATAGTTTATGAACTATAGACACACACACAAATTAAATGAAATTTTTTAAAAGCCTATTAACACTACCACTTTGTAACAGTGTTTCTCTGCCTTCCTCTTTTCTCTCTGCCTTCCCTTTCTCAGCCGCTCTCCACTTTTCCTCTATTTACCAGTACCACCTTCTTCCTGATTTTTGAGTGATCCTCACAGTGGGGACCATTTCTTCAAAATGGTGCAGAGGTAGCTTCCGACAGTTGTGCTGGGAAGCCACAGACATCACCAAAGTTGTTCATGTGCTTTAAGTTAGGGCTGTTAAGTACTGGGGATTGGCCTTGAAGAGTGTCCCATGAAGTCTGACAGACAGTGCCTTGAATTAGCTAGTCTGTATCGTGGTCATTTATGATGCTTGTATTACCATTTTGCATTTCACTTGGCTTTTTCAGGATTGTGCTAGCTAATGCTTTTTGGTCGTCATACTGTTTTCTTTCTGGCTTTCACATTGAGGCCATCCTGATTGTACAGAACACTACATAAGGAAGAATTTAAATCCATAAAAGATGATAATCCAGTCCTATTTATTTTCTGCAGGCAATGTTTTTAGACTTGGATACCACAACTAACTCAAAAAAATTATATTTCGTTGGCTAAGCTGCAATAAGATGTTTTACATGAATACCTATAGGTACCACTGTCTTCAATAGGAGTAACAGATACTCAGTACCTCAAAAGGTTACATCTGATAGTGGATTTTGCCATTCAACTTCAGGTGTTCAAATTGAGAATTTTGGCCCTGACATTTGCTGCAACCTTAGGTTTGGGTCCAATCCACTTTACAGTGTCCCTTTAAGCAGGAGCTTCCCCATAGCTGCATTCTCTGATCTGAGATGTTTAGGATACTTTCCATATACTACAGTTTCTGAAGGTCAGTGCATACACATTTTAAGACACATTGATGAGACAGTGTATGGAACTACTTGGCAGTATTTAGCTGGTACAGTTTCTTGTGGAAACAACAGAATTCCAAAACACACCACACTGAATGCTTATGGGTTATTACAAGCAAAAATCCCAAGACACTGGGAATTAAAAAGCGGAGTTCAACAAAGGAACACTGATTTCGTTGGTTGATATGAACAACGTTGTGCCAAATCTTTCTTCTTCGCTTTTTCAAGTGGAGAAATAAACTGGGAAAGGAAGCAGAAGGGAAAAAAAAAAAGACATAAACCAACAGTTATTACAGAGTTACTGTTGTGCTTTATCTCACAGAAGTGCGTGCTGTCAGAGGATGGCAAACACCTTCAGCATGTCTTTGCTGAAAGAGCATGACATGTCTTGCATACAGTATGCCTTCCTAGCTGGAATAGGCATGCTCCTCCTGTGTCAAAAGGAGTTCGGAGGGAGAGCTGGAGTGGAAAGCAGGGGAGACTGGGGCTCAAAAGACAGAAAGGGCAAGGACTGATGGTGATGTTGGCCGCCATCCCCAGCTCCAGCAACACCTGCAGTCCCGCATGTTGTAACTCTTCCTTCAGCAGGGAGAAAGGCTACTTTTCCACGGCCCCACTACCAGGATGGTAGGAAGCCTACCTTGGGTCATTTCACCACCCATGGTAGCTTGTTGCTGTGAGGAATTACCGAATTTATCTGCATCTATAGCCAGTCCTGCATGGAGGTATGATCTTGTTCTCATTCAAATCAGTGACTGGAGAAGCCATGCAGGCCTTGTCTGTGACAGCACTTGGATGCTTGATGTCAACAGGATTTAAGCATATACTTGAGAGCTACTGTAAATAAATACATCATTGAGTTCAATACACAGGGTACTTCCTGAAGCTGCAACCTTTAGGCACCATTACAGAAGGATCAAATAGACTGAAAAAAAAATCTAAAATCCAGAGCTTACATACATTTAAGTCTCACTAGCCTTGCCCTAGATCTCACTATGGTGAGACTGGGTTCGATGATGTGACACTCAAGTTTGTGATTAAATACCCTAAATCCAACCTAAGCCTGTTATTTCTGTTTCTCAACTTACCAGGACAGACATTCGGCATTTAAAACCAAGAGGGAAACAATGTTATTACTTATATGTAATTGCAGCCTTAACTTCTAAGGAGAAATTATGAGCTATCTTTTCTGCTTTTTACTTTCTTCTTAAGATACACATCATGCGCAATGATGCATATATACACAGCACAGTCAGTTCAATGGCTGCACATCTGTCTTCCCAAGTTGCTGCACTAACTGCAGAACAAAGGCCCATCTTTCCCATGAAGCCAGTTGCCTTGAGCACTCAGTTAATATAGTTAATTAATAGCCATTTCCCATTCTTACTGTATCAATGTTACGAAACCCTAGAATTATTCTGGGTCACTCTGGTGCCAGCATTCATAAGACTAATAAACTGCCACATGTATCTCAATCCATTTATTCATGTTTACAGGTGATTCTGTAGGCCTTCTTTACAGAAGCAAGAGAGGAAAAAGGAAACATGCTGAATACAAAGCATGTAATTTGAGAGCTGGGAATTAATTCACATCCACAGTCTGGCCTCCTGGTGAATCTCTTCTAGATTACTAGCTGGATTGTCTAACTCAAGAAATCTCCCTTTTAGGAGTTAATGCCATATTACAGTTATGTCACATAATGGCTGTTGCTAACACAGAGGTTACATAAATAAAATGTTCAGTTCCTGTCCTTACAAGATCCCTAGCTTCTCTAGCATGACTGCTATTATTCATTCATATGCTATCTTTCCTATAACAAATGTGTGGAATGAGATGATCTTTCAAGACAAAAAATCAGTAAGACTTTGGGCCATCTTTTAACAATATTTAGGTATTCAAGATGCAAAGGGATTTTCAGAAGCACTAACATCTCCAATTCCAGCTGATTTGGTGGGAACTAGGCACATACATGCTTTTAAAAATTCCTCAGATGCCTGTTTGCCAGTGGGCCTTCACCTCTTTTTATAGGCATGAGGTAATTCAAGCATTACTGTTCTCACTAGGAGACACTAGGACCGTGGCACTGGTTGTAATGAAAGGAAGATAACTGAGACTGCATAAAAATTGATATAAATATGAAAAGGGAGAGTCTTTAATCCTAGGGAAAGTTATGTAACATGCTAATGTAAAATACATTGTCAACAAATTCTATCTATATAAGTGTCCAGAGAGTTTGCTGTAATTCTCACTATAACAACATGACACTAGAAAGGGAATTTCACAAATGAATCAGTTCAAATATTTTATATCCATTTTTTGTTTTGTTTTGTTTTTTAATACATCAGCACTTCATACGTCACAGAGCTATTGAGATCATAAACAAAGGAAAAAATGAATTACTCACTTATAATTATAATAAGAATGACTGCACATACTACACCAAGGATGATCATCATCTATAAAAAAAAAATATGAGGAAAAAAAAAGAGAAAGTCAGGTTTTCACATGAAAGACATTAAACTCTCAGTTTTTTTACTTTTTGTACTTTAGTGGTTCATTCCTTGCACTTTTAATTCTTGTAAAGACTCACTGCAATAGACTTGTTAAGGCCTCAAATTGAGTGTCAATTTTAGGAACAGCTGGCCAGCAGCAATGAACATGGCCTCTTGTCAAAGCTAGCAAGTTCTTGCCCATAAGCTAAGATGCAGTGACCAACCTTGTCCATTTCCAGCAGTAAAGTAAAAATTCTGAAGTAAAAGAACTCCAGAGGTGATTTAAGTGGCTAGATTCACACATGGCCGTGTACTACTCTATACCAGAGTAAACTGATCACTTTTCACCACATTCCCATAGTCAGGGAAGAGACAGCTGTAGATGTCTAATGCCTAGCAGCTATTTGTGCGGGTTTTGTGTACTTGTGCTGTTGAGAGAGGTAGCCTATGCCAGCCAGCACGGTTTCCAGTGTGTTAGCCTGGAAACAGCTCATTGCAAAGGTGAAGTCTGTTCCCATGAGAACAGATACATCAGAGCTGTGCACAGACCATACCAGCACTGAGGTGTGTGTGGTAGAGGCCCCCCATGAGACTTGCTGAATGCTAATGAGGCAACCAGAGATGTTGAATTCCAGTTCTCATTGTTACCCCAGTGAGAATGGAAAGACTGACAAACAGCAAACATGGACATGTCAAATCAAGGCTTTCATAGATCCTCCCAACATCGATCTGGAGGACAGAGCCAGCCATTGGCTTGCAGGAGATTTATTTTTTTTTTCCCACTCCTTCCAGAGTTTGGGAGCCAGAGGAAGGACAGGGAGATTCTGTTTGTCAGGGTAAAGCTGGAAGGGACAATGAGGAAAGAAGAACGAGGGTAGGTTTGACGATCTAGTGTAGTGTAGATCATTGTGGTGACTGCAGTCAGTGTGGGTGAACCTAACTCAAAATCTGTGTACATAGCTCCCAAAAGCTCTGCTTCCTGCACTGTCAGGCAAAGCAACTGGGCAGCAGCTAGAAAAGGCCCATAGGAACTGCTCCGTTGAGTTTCTAACCTGGATCCACTAATTTCTGGAGTGTTTATGCATGTAGTTCACCCAGAATATTTTGCCTTACTTTACATTTCATAGCACTGTGGATTGAAGAGACAAAGGAGGCAACGAACTGATGAGAGATACATGTGGAATTGTCCTTTGAGAACAAGTGGTTTTATGTGGGTGGACATGAATGATCAGCAGCCAACATGGTATTGAAGAGAAATGGAAATGAAGCTGAACTTTTGGCATAGGGTTCATGTGTTGGTGGTGCATGAGTAGAGAGAAGCAAGGATATGGGGTCTTGTATGAATAAAGAGGAGCTGAAGCTTCTGGGTCCAAAAAAGACAAATTCTGGAGGAAGTCTAAAAAAGCAAAGGAGAGTGAGGCTCCCGCTGCTAACAGGAAAGGGTGAAACTTTGAAGAAAGCAGAGGAGAGAGCTAGTTGATCCTCTATCCTAATCTGACCTTCCTTAAAAGAGACTGTCACTTTCTCACTTCTCACAGTGGTTTGTGAAACCAAGTATTTTTTTTGTAGTTTACCATCCTAAAGAAAGATCAAGAAGCTGATGGTCTCGCACAAGGAAAAAGCTTCTTTTCTCCCACTACTAGTATTCACTACACCTGTTTGGATATTGTGGTTCACATGGGAAACTGACATGAATTAACATGGAATGCTCTCCCATCCCTATCTGCAGGCACTGACTGAAGTACCAAAATCGGTACCTACAATTTATATACTGCAGAAATTATCTAAAGAACAGATTGTGATAAAGATCAAAGTTGCTTGACTTATTATCCTGGAGGCTAGAGGGTGAGGCATCTCGTTCTTCCCTTGACAAGAAGAGGCCACTTAGAGATTCCATCCTGCAAGCAAAGTCCTGTTAGATGCAAGTGAAAGTAATGTCTGTCATGAATTGATTCTTAACAAGAATTTGTGTTCCTTACCTTGCAATTTTTCCACCAGTATTTTCTCTTCAGTTTGGCTGCACTGGTTTCAAACTGTGAGGCACCTGCTTGCAATGCATCTGCCCGGTTGTCAAGCTCTGATAGCTTCTGGTCTCTTTCTAGCACCTTGTCCACGTTCATTCTCATAATGTCTACCACCTGCAGAGACACAGCCTCACATTAGGCTCCACATACAGTGAAGCCAAAGGTCACTTGCATGTTCACACTGTGGAATATCACATATCGTACTGAAAACAGCCATTTGCCATTATGGTATGTGATGGCAGTTACCTGGACAGTTCCTCAAAAATCATGCCTATGGAAACAGACACAGTGAGAACAAGATTAACATAGCTATATTGTCCTCAGATGCCCTTAAAGGTAAAAAATAAAGAGACATTATGAAATACTGTAATTAGTTTCATTAAAGCTTTTAACATCTTTAAGCCTACAACTAGCTACTTCACTGTAGATACAAACGACTGATGGAGACCAGTACTTCTCCAATTTGCTGACATTTGTCCAGTCATCACTAAGACCAAACCATTATTTTCCTTATACAATTAATATAATTTCCTTACCAGAACTAGAGAAATGGGCTAGATAAAGGCCACTCTAAAGGGAACTGTATGCATTTTCTGACCAAGGAATTTTCTCATTCTGCAGATCTTTCTCAGACAAGATTACTTCCCAGCCATAATTTGAAGTCCTGCTTGAATGTGAAGGAAAAGAAAATTATACCTGGGAAAATTCAGCCTGAAGCTCACATTGCCTCATTGTACAGCCTTAGAAAAAAAGCGGCACAGCCAGTACGCTACAGGTAAGGCCCATTCATGCATATATTTCATACGTTGAGTTAGATGAAAATCCTCTTCTAGCAAGCCGATACCTTTAAATAGAATACCTGTACAAATTCATCACTAATGTAAATGTTAAGACAGTATACCAATCTCAGTGAAGTTATGTCCACTTATTCTAGCAGTGAATATGTTTGCCGGTCTGTTACTTCTCACATTCTGTAATAAGGAAGTCCATATTGTTTGTATGTAATATAATTTAACTATTACCTGCAAAATCCCAGCGTTATTAAAAAAATACATAATTTAAATACAGCAAGATGAAACTGGTAGTGAAAAAATCTTTTAAAGGACTGGCATAGGTTTAAATGCTGTTCCAAAACTCAAATGATTAGTTTCATTTGTCCACCAAACCTAAACAAAATCAAATGTTTTGGTCAACCCAAATTTTCTTACTTGCTTTTCCAAACAAAAACCTTCCAAGCATTTAACTTCATATCACATAAAAAACCCTTTTGTTTTCATTTCTCAGCTACTATTTAGCTATATTTTGTCTTGGCACAACGTTTCACAGTGAAAATTTTAAACTATCTGAAAATGCTGAAACAAAATACAGTAATACTTCCTACCCGTTCTCTCCTTTTTCTTCGCTCAGAACTTTTTATTGAATTTAACCTGACTGCAGTGGACACTTGTCCAGACGACTGCATTTTTGTCAAATAATTAAATGTTTGTCTAGACTAAAGCCAAGATCCGAGCCTTAGAAAATAGGCTCTAGGATGCCTAGAGAAACCAGAGGGGAAACCCCAACATGGATATAGCTGAAATACCATATCAGCATTGATCTAGCATGAAAAATGTCAGTCGTTTTACTGAGACCAAAAATTTTCTCTTAAGCGAAGTCATGATCATGTTGCTGAGCTTTGGGTTAGAGTCTGAAGTGCTGTGCAGAGAAGCACTTGGCGCAGAGTAGCCAGAGGAGTGTAGTGCTGTGGTGTTTGGTGCCACCTATAGATGACTTTCCCACAAGACATGAAAAAAAAACAACCGGGAAAGATCTAGTAGGTCAAAACAATGCTTAACAGATCAGATCCTTAGGTGCTATAAACCAACTTCAACCTAGTGACTTCACAGTAGTGAAAGCCCAACAGTGTTTTTCTCCCTTGGCTATTCTTATACAAGGATTTGCTGACCATGTGCTATCCACTCAAAACCCAAACCAACCTCAGCCTCCCTCCAAACTGGAGGCAAAAAAACATGAGCCCTGATTATCAGCCACATGTGGTGGTGCAACTTTTCCCCCACCTTGGGCCGCTCTGTGCTCAGTGCAATTCCCCCCCTTTTTCTGAACCGCATGCCAACCTAGGATGAGTCGGGTGTGGATTGCAAAAGGCAGTGAACCAGAGTGTTAAGGCACTCCCTTAACGTGCCAGGCTTCTGCTTCTCCCACCTGGGCCACACATCAACCTAGGATGAGTTGGAGGTGAATTGCAAAAGGCACCGGACCACCTCTCAGGTACCAACTCCGTGGATCATCTGCTGACAAAGCTGGTGGAAGGATGAGGTGAAATATCC